GTCAGTAGGCGATACACCAACACAACTGAAACCTTACCCTAGCCACGAGAGCCACTATCTGCAGTTACCATCTGCGTCTTACTCTGGTTGTTTTTCTGTTACTTTTCAACTGTTGTCATTTTTTTCATTCAGTGTAAACCAATTTAAAGAGTTTGCACACGTTAATCTTGAATAATTTTGAATGTCGACGGAATTCTGAATACTTTCGTGTACCGAGAATATACGCAGTACTCCTCGCAGACTCCTCTTCAGCTTTATAGGAGGCGCGGCGAGGAGGAAGGAAGGAGTATAACCGAGAAAGGGGGGAGGGGAGTGAAATTGGAAGACGGAAAAGACGGCTACAAAATGAACACGAGAACTTGACACGAAATGATAGAGTACGGACGGGACCGGCGGGGCCAGCCCGGGAGGGGCTGGTTGGCCAGGAGATCGAACACACCCGCCGCCACACGGGTCGGCGTAGCCGTCGACGCGGTAGGCCCTAAGGTGGGCGCCTACATTCGGGTTTCGCGGCGCTTATATGTCCGGGTGTGGCGCGGCAGGGCGGGGCGGAGCGTGGCGTAGGGCGGCGCTAAAGCAAAGCCGCCGTGTGGGGCGCGCGAGGACTCTGCCGCGTCCCTCTCTGCCACTTTGTAGATTGCTGTGCCGCGGGCTGGGCGGCCTGCGTGAGGGTTGCCTAGCGGGCGTGCCGCGCGGCTGTAAGGAGCCGCGGGTAAACAAGCTATCGCGCGCGCTAGCGCCAGCCCAGCGCCAGCCCAGCGCCAGCCCGTAAGCAAACCTGTACTTTCCTGGAGCGACGAGGCCACTCGACGACGTTAGGTTAAAAAATTTCCCGCTTCCCTTCGCGCTGCCCCGCTCTGTGTTGGTCCGTTGTACTCTCCGCTTCGTCCTGCTCAGCCCAGCCCGCACTTCAGCGCCAACTTCTCAGGCATTGTTTTCTTTCACTATGCGGTCCACTGTGCGAGAAAGGGGGTAAAAAAAGACTCATTTACAAGCAAACAACTTTACCTCATTGTGACGAGTAATGCGGTAAAGAAATCAATTGAGTTTTTTGTTTTTTTTATTTTTCTGTAATAATTTGTCCGTATCGGAGATGAAATAGGCCGACCCTCCCTACGCACAAGCGGCTATCTTCCTGGTCGTGGCAGACAATCATTTGAAAAGGAATTTTTCTCGAATAAGAACAAAAATCTTTTTAAAAGATTTTCTCGCTGTGTGTTGCAAAGGTGCAAGCAGGCTAGGGTCTCGTGTCGGCCGCCCTCTGACACTGAGTGCGAGTGTGAATAAAGGCACCAAGGGCTGAAGGGGCGCTCCCGGGCGGGGGCGGACGTTCTCCTGGGCTTTCACAGAGATCGCCCGCGGCCAGCCAGTCCAACCCGCTGCAAAGCCGGGCCCGCGGCCCGACAAAAGGAAACAGAATGCACCAATTTCCTTGCTGTCCCTTTGACTTAATCGTACATATTTTGAATTTTTCACGCCGCACGGGTAACACAAATGTAGAAAATTTCAAACTAAATGATGGTCAGCCTCAAGTGTTCAGAACATACACATTATTGTGCCGAACTGAACTACACGGTAAAAGGAATGTCTTGAAATCCCGGGAAATTTCTTGGATTTCAAGGTCGGGTGGGTAATTTCAAGATTGGACCCTGAAATCCCAGGGAAAGCCTTGGAATTTTCGTTTGGTAGTCAAGGGTGTTCCTTGAAGTATCAAGATCGTGCTCCTCAGATTTCAAGATATTCTCTTTTACCGTGTAGACGTAAATTGTGTGCAAATATTAAACATTTCGCAAACGTTTTGTTACTTTCAAGTGTTCACACTAAGTGTGAAATTCGGTGGGACACCGTTTTGCGCCAGGTAATGTGCGAAAACCGCGAGC